AGTTAATTTGCAAAAACAGATAACTTAGTTTTTAACAAAATCATGTTTTTTTCATTGTGCATTCCAATTAATCTCAATCAAACTGCAGTTGGGTTATTTTGATTTGGTAAAAAAATAACTAAAACATACAGCTAACTAACACAATAAAACACAATGAAAACATGATAACATAAAAAACATGATTCTTGAAAATAAAAAAACAGTATATACTGTATATTTGGGCTGTCATCTTAACGCGTTAACGCATGTGATTCATTTTACAATCCTTAACGCGTTAAAATAATTTAACGCAATTAATGCAAAATTACTGAAGCACAATTTCTATTCTAACCCTTTAACCCAATGTTGCTTCTCTGCTTGCGATCAGAACATTTTAAGGTGCTAAACTCCGGGAAAGTTTTCAGTCCAATGATCCAGTAAGCGAATGCATTCAAACAATCCGTCCAAAACAGCGCTAATATAAAAGAAACCAGGCTGATTACATCAGAGATTGCAGAGAGAACAGAGACTCACGTTGCGTTTTCTTGACCGGATAACCAGTCTCGCTAGTAAAGTTTTGATGAATGAAGACTGCAATCAAGGTAAAGATGATTGCGGTGGCTTACAGGAGGCGTGCTGTAAGCACGCGTGAGTCCGTTATAATAATGCGTGTACAAGTGCTTTTTACGCACTGATCACACATTGTATTTATGCACAGGCACAGATATTTCCATACATTCACGTAGTTTCCACACACATTCACGATAATGTTTTGATTTGTCATGTTTATGTTGCTGTGTTTAGTTATACTGAATGGATCCGTGTACTGTAGTAGATATATGTTTAGTTATTCTGAATGGATCCGTGTACTGTAGTAGATATATGTTTAGTTATTCTGAATGGATCCGTGTACTGTAGTAGATATATGTTTAGTTATTCTGAATGGATCCGTGTACTGTAGTAGATATATGTTTAGTTATTCTGAATGGATCCGTGTACTGTAGTAGATATATGTTTAGTTATTCTGAATGGATCCGTGTACTGTAGTAGATATATGTTTAGTTATTCTGAATGGATCCGTGTACTGTAGTAGATATATGTTTAGTTATTCTGAATGGATCCGTGTACTGTAGTAGATATATGTTTAGTTATTCTGAATGGATCCGTGTACTGTAGTAGATATATGTTTAGTTATTCTGAATGGATCCGTGTACTGTAGTAGATATATGTTTAGTTATTCTGAATGGATCCGTGTACTGTAGTAGATATATGTTTAGTTATTCTGAATGGATCCGTGTACTGTAGTAGATATATGTTTAGTTATTCTGAATGGATCCGTGTACTGTAGTAGATATATGTTTAGTTATTCTGAATGGATCCGTGTACTGTAGTAGATATATGTTTAGTTATTCTGAATGGATCCGTGTACTGTAGTAGATATATGTTTAGTTATTCTGAATGGATCCGTGTACTGTAGTAGATAAATGCAGTCAGCAGGCGGTTGGTTTCATTTTTTTTTTGGCATCTCCATGTGGTCCTGTTCGGTATCGCAACTCGGCTTCTCTAAAATTTAAAAAAAGCTCTTTGCTGTTGCACTGTACACATACTATAAAATTCAGATTTTTTTTCTTTCATATGTGCTTATATGGGCTCCTTATATCATTTGGTTCTTTGGTGTCCTTTTGGAGTTTCTAAGTGTCCTTTTTTGGAAAGACATCTACATTTATCTTGAAAAAATCTTGCAGAAAATATAGATTTTTGAGAATCACCCTTCAATCTTTTGGTTTAGTTTGCTGGATATAGCAAATGATGACAAAATAAACATTTGAAACAAGATACATGTCTTTGCTTAATTTCATGAAGTGTGCGATTAATCGTGATTAATCACAGAAAAAGATGTGATTAATCAGATAAAAAATTGTAATCAATTGACAGCCCTAATATATAATGCATACTGCTTTTATAGATAGACTACTCTAGAATATCATGTACTTTCCAAACGAATACACTTTCAAGAGCCTTTCAAGATAATCCATTTAATTTATGATACAGCTACCTAGACAGGAAGAAATTTCAATTTGGAAAAGTACTTATATTTGATTTGAGTGTATTGACCTGTGCTGGGTAATGTCACCATGTTTGAAGGTTCACTGGGTGGGCTGATGCCCCAGGGGTTACTGGCACTGACTCTGAACTGATAATGGCCACCAGGAATCAGATTCTCAATCTTCACACACACGTCTGCAGTGGAGACCACCGACTGCTGCCACACCAGAGAGTCTGCACACAAATACACACACACAAAACACTTCAATATTATTATTTTTTTTTTCCTGGAGGATCATGTGACATTGAAGACTAACGTGATGTGACACTAAATGGCTAATACACTGTACATCAAACTCTAATTTAAAAAGAGCAAAATTAGTAGTTTCCCATTACATGACCCCTTTAAGTGTCTCTCATTACAACAGAAAGCAGGCAGTAGTTCTCAATTCTTCCAGTGGATGTTTGGCTATGCTGAGACTGCTGGGAATTTACAGCTGTGCAATTGTTTACCTTCCTGCCTGTATTCCACAGTGTAGCTGGAGATGGCAGAGTTTCCTGAGCTGGCTGGAGGAAGCCAGTGGACAATCACTGCGGTGCTGCTGGCTTCCTGTGCAACAGGCCGAGCAGGGGCTGCTGGGATACCTGCACCAGAGAACGTGAGGACAGTCAAACATGTGGAAAGGTGAGTTGTACACTCGACATCTTTATTCCTCTTTGTTTCTTTTTACCTTGTACTTTAATAGATGCAGATGAGGAGGCAGTGCCATGATCATTCACAGCCACACACGTGTAGATACCAGTATCCTGAGGCATCAGATTACAGATCTTCAGCACTATATCACCTGATTCCCTGAAGTTGAGCAGGCACAGCACACAGAGAGAGGGTTACTTTAGAAAGCTACTTTCAGAAATAACAATAAAATGGCAAAATGATCATCTTATAAATCTTTGACGAAAGCAAAGATATATATTTACATTCAAGTTTATTAGACTAGTATTATCTTTAAGGAGGTCATTTAATACAGTTTAAAGACAATTGTTTCATTGTTTCATTATACAATTGTTTTATTAGTTATAATTCATTTTAGTTTTTCTTGCTTAAATAAAACAGTTAATACAATAATTCACATAATACAGTTTTTTTATTCTTTTTATTTATTTATTTTTTTAAATTCATAATCCAAAACCTATCACCCACGTGAAAAACTAATAGCCCCCTTAAATGTAAAATCTCCTTTAGTTCAGCCACATTGGAGGGATTTTCGATCATGAAATGCCTGTTGAAGGTCCTGCCACAGCATCTCAATTGGAGTCAAGTAAGGACTTTGTCTAGGCCACTCCAAAATTTTGAATGTACTTTTTTTGAGCCATTCAGAGGTGGACTTGCTCCTGTGCTTTGAACCATTGTCTTGATGCGTAATCCAGTTGTACTTGTACAGTACAGGGAAGTTGTGGCCTAATGGTCAGAGAGTCGGACTCGTAACCCAAAGGTTGCAGGTTCAAGTCTCGTACCGGCAGGGATTGTGGGTGGGTGGAGTGAATGTACAGCGCGCTCTCTCCCACCTTCAATACCACGACTGAGGTGCCCTTGAGCAAGGCACCGAACCCCCAACTGCTCCCCGGGTGCCACAT